AATGTTATTTGTCAAGCGATGTCCAAACTTTTGCACACAACTGTATATACTGCAAACATACACCAATCAGCCACAACATTACAACCTTTCAAGTTCAAGAACTGTGGTTTTAATGTTGTGGCTGATCAGTGTACACACATACACGTACAGCATACACACAACAAACAAGCCTTACACCTGGAAAATATCCCTATGGTTACCTTGAGTGCAGGTGCAGGAAGCTGTGGAAGGAGGCGGAGCTTGTTGTGTCTAAGGTAGAGCTGCTCCAGAGCAAACATCTCTGATAGGTTGGCAGGAATGTCAGTCAGCTGGTTATTGCTGCAGTCCAGCAGCTTCACTTCTGCCAAATCAAGTCAGAACTCAGCCAAACAGTCTCTTACAGGGTTAGGCAGCAGGTCAAGGCTTTTTCATAGAACAAAGTTACACACTTCTCAACGCTTCAAATCCAGAAGTCTTTCAGAGCTTCAGTATGCAAAGTAGGTGCTGAACTGTCAAACAGTATCTGAAACCAGCCCACATCTTTTCAAAGTCAGAACTGTAACTTGCACTTCATGCGGAAGCGTGAAAGGTACCGTGTGTGACAACAATGCTGTTGGCGCATATGGTATTTTGTATGAATGTGTTGAGCAGAGCATCAGGTTCATGGCGTGCCAAACTGACATGGAGTGGAAACCACACCAAATCTGCACAAATTGACACAGTCAGTTGGACAAACAAAGCCTGTTATGAAAAAAATGCAACCCTCTCACTTGCTTGAATGGAGCAAGCCCATCAACGCAGCGGGGGTGCAACAGCACAGGGCTCCAGCAAAAGGATGTAAAGCCATCCTGCAACAAATTTGAGCCTGGTTCAGTTTTTGCTACACCCAACATGACATCATCCACTAAGGCACTGGCCAGTAACACAGATGTTTACGCCAGCACACATTCCTGGTGGGCTACTTTGCAACATCATTTCCTGGACTGCATAGTCCTGTATATGCTAGGTATACACAACAAGTTCAAATGCTATCATTACCTACTTGTGAGTGAAATGTATCCATGTGCAACCATCCTCATTGTTGTTACCTTATGTCAGCCTTCAATAAAATACGAATGGAGTTGTCACACATTAACCAATAAAGTTCAGGTAAAAAGACTCGCTGTATAGATGATGGCAAATTCAGAAAAATGTCCATTTCCAGAGCAGCAATTCCATCAGTACAACAGAATCATCCTACTCAACATTCTACTTTACGTGCTTTCTCTTTTTAACACAATGGTTCTCACTCACTGATTTATTTCCAAGCACTTTTCTTGCTGATTTTTTGCAACTGATGTTAAACTGTCAATGAAACTCAAGACTTACCGCAGATATTTCAAATAAAAAGCCTGTCAAGACAGAAAGGGCTCCTATTAGATGCTGTAAAGCTTTTAATGTGAAACTTTAGGAAGTATAGAAGTTCAATGATGGTACCTTCACAAATATGAAAAATGAGAATTGTAGGAAAACCTGTAGCCACTTAGTCGTGCCCAGTGGCCTGGTTAGATGGGGAACCAACTGGAAATACCAGATGCAGTGGCTCTAGGGTTGAGGATCAATAGGATTTTAATGAATCTGAATGTGAAACACCAGTGTCTCCAGTGTCTATACAATACGTTAAACCATCCAAAATCTTTTAGGAGAGATGTGGCAGGCTGTGGATTCTCACTGTTCTCAATATACTCTGTACCCTTTACTTCAGTCTTCCCAAGACAAACCACTGAGAAAGTCACACCAGAGGCAGGTGCACTTTCTTCGTTTGAAACATCAGTCTCTGTACAGTCAGCTAAATAGCACAGTGAAGTCAGGTGGTTATTGGGCAATAGGTAAAAAAGAAAAGTAAAAATAGAAGCAGATAAAGTGCAATATAAGGTGGAATTAAGATGCATTAATTAAAAGAACCATCTTTAGATTAGTTTTACATGTGGCTCCAGTTGGGGCAGATCTAAGCTCTAATGGGAGCTGGTTCCAGCTATGGGCAGCATTGTGGCTAAAAGCACTTTTACCGTGTTTAGTTCGAACTCTGGGCACCACTAGCTGACCAGTCCCTGCAGATCTGAGACACCTACCAGGTCCCGACCATTGAGTGGCTTATAGACACTAAGCAGGGCCTTAAATTGAATCCTGTATTTAACTGGAAGCCAGTACAGAGATCTAAGGAGTGGAGTAATGTGTTCTCTATTCTTGGTGCTGGTCAGTATTCTAGCAGCAGCATTTTAAATGAGTTACAATTGTCTAAAGGCCTTATTCTTTTTACTGTTGAAAAAAAGTCCACTATTTCATCATTTCTTGTATAACAAGTGTGAAAAACGTGAAGAAGCAGAACACCTGATAGCTGGCTGGTCTTACTTGTGAGCTGGGCCAGGCTGTCAGGCAGACAGCTGAGCTTGTTGTGACACAGGTTCAGTTTCTGCAGAGCAGTGAGGTGACCCAGGCTGGACGGCAGGTCCTTCAGACGGTTCTTGGACAGGTCCTTCAACCAATCACAACAAACAAGACATTTCTGTGAGGCAATCACATGACATGGTAGGTGGAGTATAACACACTACATAGTTTGTGTTAGTTACCAGCTCGGTCAGGTTCTCCAGGTGCCCCAGGTCCTCTGGCAGGCTCTCCAGCAGGTTCTGCTGTATCGTAAGGCTGCGGAGATTCTTCAGAGTGCACACCGCTAATGGCACTGATGTCAGCTGGTTATGACTGGCCACACATGAAAATAAATGCATGTTATATATCTCAAGTATGAAGAGCTGAATAGCACCAGGCCCCGACATGATCCACGCCTACCGGTTAAAGAAACTAACCTCACTCCATGAGTGCCTGGTGGGACAAATGAACCAGCTACTAATGGATGGAACACACCCTGAGTGGTGAACCGAACAGTCCTGATCCTGAAGGACCCTCAGAAGAGAGCAGGACCATCCAACTACCACCCAATAACCTGCCTCTACACAACATGGACACTCCTGTCAGGAATCATAGCAG